AAAGGTGATCGGGACATCCCTAGACACAACGACATGCTGACTGCAGTGGGGTTTGAACCTGTGACCCCCTGATCCCAACACCAAGGCTCTATCCACTGCGCCATACGCCTCCCTACATTTTAGTTTTAGCCCTTTCTCTGGTTTTTAGATTTGAGAGAGAGATGTTAGTGGAGTTGCCCTTTAAGTGTATTTTGTTGTGATATCTCACCATGCTGGTAGTGAGGGAGTTGATGTAAGTCATGTCTTTGAGGCAGTATTGCCATGCGATGAGACTTTTGATGTTGATGTAGAGCTGATTCCAGAGGCTCATGATGGCTTCATAATACTGCTCATACCTAGAGAAACCACAAGCCATTCAAATCAGACACTATATAATAAACATTATGATATATTGTCATAGTCATTTTAACAGATTGCTAACTCGTTTCTTTGTGAAGGATATTTGTAATGCCTATTAAAACCTTTAAGAACATATTGAACAACAACATATGCATAGTCATCCCAAAAGGGAAGCTTTTTCCATTTATTTAATTTGTTTCAAATATAGTTATTAAAGGGAAAAAAAACTAAATTTGAACCAACTTCTAACCAGGGCTTTTTCAGACCTACATTGGCGTACATTTACTGGATGGTTCTTACTTGCTAGCAAGGCCGATGCTGAGAGGGTTTGGTGGGGGGATCAGCAGACACACAGAGGGAATCAACATGTCCAGACCTCCAGGTCCAGTCACAAGCCACTTGCTGCGCTGCGAGTTATCCTTCAGGATGCCCTCATTCCCTTTCAAAATCCCGATCTGAAGCACAAAACAGAAAATCCCAACTGAGAAAATGCTGATTTATTCCTGTAATGCTCCACTTATTACTCTGGGTCTCAGTGTGTATTTGTGTGTGAGAGAGAGAAAGAATATCCCACCTGGTCTTGTTTAAAGTCACATATGGCCTCGACCATGACGGGGCTGCTGCTCTTCTCCTCTGGGTTGCGAGGTTTCAGCCTGATAATGCTCTTAGATTTGTTAACCAGACTGTGGACCTGCCTCTTATTGTCGATGACTCGCTCCTTCTCTTTCTGTAAACATGCAAACATCACATCTGTGTTATTAACTGAGCCACTGTACACGGCAACTGTAAACCTAAGTTCGAAAAGTGAAATCAGACAACAAACTGCAGACACAATGCACAGGAATTCCATTAAGTCCTTTAAGAAACTGGCAAAACCAGTTCAAAAGACATGCAAATGGTTTTAAACCCAAATTATTTGACAGAACAAATAGTTGAGCATGCTTTGTGCTTCACACCAGCAAGAAAATGGTAATCTAGATGTTTAAATGTATAGTGATACCTCCAGGTTTCTCAGGAGCTCAGTGAGGGTATCCAGTGAGGTGGTCTTGTCGCAGGTAAACTTGCTTCGGATAGTCTCGTGTTTGTTCTGCAGCTTTGCAGCGGTCTCATTGGCCTCCTTGAAAAACTGAAGAGGGCAGCAAAAAGCTTGAATTAGTAATCACACTAACAGACCAGCGGGGCTTTCGTTCATACCAGCTGGAACAAGATTGAGCACTTACTTGGCTGTAGGCAGCATTCTCCTTCAAGTGAACATGGATACACTTGGTGATCTGGAGAAGCCAGCTCCACTGGGTCTGTAAGGTGTCCATGTAGGCCTGTTGGCACACACAGTTGTCAGTACATAGCACATTTTCTCTTTATAATGATGAAATACCCAGAATAAAATAAAACACCTTACTTCAATTTTATCTGAGGCAGGGTGGTTGTTGTTCAGGAGTCCATCCGCTTTCAGCTTCAGCTTGTTTAGGTCCTTCTCTTTCTCCTCCAGATCTCTCATCAGCCCCTGTCAGGAGAACAGGAAGTAAGGGACCAAGACGTACAGAACATACTTAACTAATATTGTAATGATAGAAACACCAAACCAGGAGAAAAGAGGGGTTCAGGTAGAAATTCTTACCGAGTAGCTCTCTTGCTTTTTTGGGATATACTGGTCGATGTTCTTGTCTCCCCAGTCAAACATAAGCTCCTCCTCCTCTCTCTCATTCACCCACATGATGGCTCTGGAGATTTCATCGATGATGCCCTGAAGCTCTCGCAGCTGATCCACACGGTTGTGGGACATTTTCTGAGACAGACAGGAATATGTATGTTTTTTAAAAAGGATTTTGACAAACTATAAAAAAACATCTTTGTAAAATAGTTTGGTTTTACCTGCAGGCTTTCCCATTCTTGTTCCATGATTGCCAGGTTGTACTTGTCCCCTCTCGAGTTCTGAAGAAAGATATTGTGTTTGTTTCTCAGTCTTGAATAAGATTACAAAACTGTTGTACACATGATACACAGTCAAAAATCGTACTTAACAAATAAGATATCTAAAGAATCCGGTCCAAACAACCACTTACCAGATCATCTCTGGCACGGTCTACTTCCTGGCTCCTCTGTAAAGAGCTGTGGGTCCTGCTGTGGCTTGTGATTTGTTTTTCTATGGTTTCGGAGTCATCTCCAAATGGAGCGGTCTCAATCATGCGCTATAAGACCCAGAATCACAGTTTATTACTTTATAATGCAATAAGTGCTACACACAATTACAATATCAAAATCTACTTCAATTGACATGGCATTTAGTTGGAACATTACTGTACAATGGTTTATGAAATACCAGTACTGCATACATACAAGTTTGAATAAATAATGAATGAATTACCAACAATGAATAATCGATCCACTGATGCTTTCTGGACTCCCTTCCGATAGATTTTAACCTCTAAAGATGTGTCACCAATGCGTTGTTTCCTTTTTTAAATGATGCAGTGTTTGTTCAATAGACAACAAAAAAAAACTGCTGCAAAATGTCAATCACTGCAAAGGTGTGGGTGTGGTTCATGTGTATTTAAGGGTTTTTGAAAAATGCACAGAGGACTTATCTTTATCCGCTTTAGTGTAAAAAGGCAATGCTTTTTATCGACTAATTGTTTTAGCAATACAAAGAAATAACACAGTGAGCTCTCTTTATTCTTTAAGGCAACCTAATTGTTAGTCTGAACACTATTCGCCCTGACTTTTATTCCCTGACGTATTTCACCTCTTTGTCCTCCAGGTGTCAGCATTTAATCATTGCATTGGTTGTCAAGCAGGAAACTATCCCAACTATTCCCCCCTTGTTAGCAACCTTTCAGCTTTGATAAGAGCTCAGCCAGAAAAAACCAACCTCAGCCAGTCCCTGCTTTTCACTTACATTTTTTCACTCTCAAAGCTTTGTTCTCTAACCACTCCCTTTTCCTTCATGACTGCTTGGCTGAAGCTACACACACTTTCTCTGTTAAGAGACTGACAGCAGGCCAGCTAATGTCTATAGTAGAAAGGTCAACAAAAGTGGACTGTATCTAGGTACACCAAGGCAAATTCCTCGTATGTGTTATCTTACTTAGCAGTAAACCCGTTTCTGATTCTGATGACTGGAAGTNATGTCACTTGTTAGACGCTTTTATCCAAAGCAACTTACATACTCAATACTGTGGGCAATCCCCACAGGAGCATTTTGAGGTGAAGTGTCTCAGGGACACTGTGTCCCTGAGACACTTCACCTCAAAATGCTCCTGTGGGGATTGCCCACAGTATTGAGTATGTAAGTTGCTTTGGATAAAAGCGTCTAACAAGTGACATGTAATGTAATCAAGTATAAAGTCTGGATCTTCTATATATATATAAAAGCTCATTTTAGTATAAAAAGGAAAACAAATGTTCTGTAAGCAGCTCTAGATTTATACTTGATGACATCACAAGTTTGAGAATTACTTCTGACTAGATTGAATTTTCCAATGCTATAAAATACGTAAATTAACTTCTTTATTAAACTAATTACCAGTTTTACTGTTTTATAATAGCTTAACTGTTTTTATACCAAGCAAAGATAGATAATACCAGGTTTCCATCTTATCTGAAACACGGTTTGCAGAGGTCTGCTCACTTCCTGTGTCTTTTCCTTAACCTGACCCCTGTCCATTGTCTTGCAGCTGTCTAAGATGCGACCCGAGGAGTACCGCAGTATCTTCAAAACACTGGAGACTCATTACCAAGAGTTCTTGCGTACCAGCCAAGGTTCTGAGATGTTTGGGGAAGAGGAAAAGAAAAATATCCAGGACAACTTTGATAAAACCCAGGACCACTATGATGCAATGGTTGGTTACAGTAAGTGTCAAATATCCTTATCTTCCTCTTAAATTGTCAGGCCACTAAATGTGCAAAAGTACTGCTGTTTCTTTCCACTATACATTGACATTCTTCACATTTTCCTGCAACCAATAAAGGGACTACTACCACGATTACCGAAACAATTGTCCCCACGGTCACATCCCCGACCGCATCCCCGGCCATACCCCCGGTCGAACCCCCGGTCACACCCCTGCCTCCCACAACCAGTTCTTCCCTCAGCGTCGTCCTGCTCAGAAATCTGCAAGATATTCATCGCAGGCTGGAGCTGGCTGAGTCGGGGCTCACCAGCCATCTTCACGTTAGCCTGGGGGAGAACAGCGTGCACGAGAGCTCAGTGCACATCGAGAAGCTAGAGGTGAGTATCTTTTCTTACAGTTCTGTCTAATTATAATTGAGATGCTCTTTGCTTAAAAACACTTGCAAAATATAGGCAAGACACGATACATTATAAAACAACTGATTATGCTAAATGTTAATTATCATACAATATTGAAATCCAGATTGTGCACCAAGAATTGGACTCCATTCATGATGAGTACATGCGACTCAGAGAAAAGGTTCTTAAACAACTGGAGGGGATACCTCGAGAATCTGAGCAAGCCAAGTTCCTCCACTCTGAACTGAAAATCATCAACCAAAAACTGGGTGGCCTGCAGGCTCTCTACCCTGCCTACTTTGAAAGGTACATTTTTTTCTCATCACTTTTCTTTTTTTTTATGTTAATACATTATTGATAAAACTCAATTTGTTCTCTCGTTAAAGGCTTTGAAAGTGATCTGCAAGAACCAGTGCATTTAACATGAAGGCTTTGTGTCTTTGACAGGATGTCAGCTGTTCAGGCTTTTCTCCGAAGCCTCCTTCAGGCTGAAGACATCATTAAAGTCTACGAGGCCCGGCTGACAGACAAGGAGACCTCCTCTCTGGACCTCGAAGAGGTGGAAAACTATCGGAGCACACTGAAGGTTTGATACACTTTTTATAGATATGTATTTTAATAATGAAGTACTTAAATAAGTATTGTACTTCAATACAGACTTGAGTTACTTATACTTCACTTGAGTATTCAAATGTAATGTCGCTTTATACTTCTGTTCTCCGCTACAAGTCAGATGGAACTTATTATTCTGGCCAATTGTTCTGCATTATGAGTACTTTTGAGGCCTTTTGCCAATGATACTTGTGTATGTTTTACTTAAAAGGACATTTTCAATGCAGACATTTTACTTTTATTGCATTAATTTAATATTACAATATTGCCATTTTTTACTTTAGTTAGCAAACTTAATACATTTTCTAAAAGTAACAAAATATAAGATTCTCTGATCAAATCATGTCCATATTGTCAGATTAAACACCTCTTGATGTAAAAAAGACTTTATAATTATTATTATTATTATCATTATTGTGGAAATTTAAAATCCACTTTGTGATTTTCTATTCAAGCAAATGAAAAGCGATCTGGATCAAAAAAGAAACCTTCTGACGGCAATGGAATCTGACCTGAGTAAAGCAGTGCACTGGAATGGTCAAATCACTGAGCCCTACCACAAGTGTGACGTAGACTTGGCCAGGTACTCAGACCAGGTGGGCCAGATGTCCGACCGCTGGCGCCGCATCCAAACCCAGATCGACAGCAGGTACATAGTCTATGCATTTACACACATTTCTTTACTACCTGTGAATATTTCTCCACATCCTCCCTCCGTCATTGCTAGTAACGGCACTAAAAATATCTCTTCGCCCCTTCCCCTGCCTCCTACTCTTTCCTCCTCAGAGTGTGGGATTTGGAGAAGCATGAGAAACAGCTGCAATATTATCAGCAGAGCAGCAATCTCCTGGAGCAGTGGATCAACAATGCCAGGAAGCGACAGGACACCCTTCAGACGGTTAAGCTCAACGACGTCCAGACTCTAATGGACCACCTTAACCAACAGAAGGCACGTCTTTACATGTCTTCTTTATACCAATACATTGTAATCAATAGTGACATTTGAACTGATTTGATTTGGTATTGGAAATATCCACCCTATCCATTTGAATTGAGACAGCTTGAGCATGTGCGTAGGTGTGGATTATTTACATTGTACAACAGCAAAAGAAAAGTTAGAAAACACATAAAAGTTAACTTACTATATTAACCAAATATATTTATTAATTTAGGAACCACTTATAATAATATAATTAATTATATATATTATTGTCTGATAAAGTAATAGCTCTCTTACAAGAGTCACAGTCTGGACAGTGTTGTGTTCAATTAAATCAGTCAATGTAATGCCACCTTTTGCTCACTGCACAGGCTCTTCACACTGAAATAAAAGGAAAGAAGGAGAAAGTAGAGGTTATGCAGAAAAACGCAGACACTTGTGCGTCCTCCATAAAGGTAGGTGGTCAATAAATCTCCCCCATTTGTTTATTTAATGTTATTTTTAAATACATGAAAGAGATTGTGGGGCAAAAATAATGAAGTCCATGTTGTGTTATGGGTTTTCAGGACTATGAGCTGCAGCTGGCTTCCTACAGTTCAGGCCTGGAAACACTGCTTAACATTCCTATCAAGAGGACAATGCTGCAGTCCCCCGCTTCTGTGGTCAGACAAGAGGTTTGAGTCCCTCCATTACGTCATATGTAACCAATTTTCAGTTAGATATTGTGTTCTTCTTCTGTTTGTCAAATTTCAATTAAACAATGATTATCGCCTTTGTATTTTAAGCTTATGCAATACAACCTATTTAAAGGTTAATCCCATGATTGCATATATCATTTAATGATATCACTGGTATTTATTTAACAAATGAACTTTTTTTTAATCCTCTTATTTTGACTCCCAACAGGCATCTGGCCTCCAGTCCAACTACATCGAGCTCCTGACCCGCTCAAGTGACTACTACAAGTTCCTGGGGGAGCTCCTGAAGAACATGGAGGAGCTGAAGGTAGGTTTCCGATTTGTAAGATGCCATTAAAGACATTGAGTCAAGTCAATATTCTTATTTTAGTAAAATAAATAGTACGATCAAATTGATATATATGAACAAATAAGTTGGTTTTAAAAATATAAAAGAAGTCACTGACGCTCTTCCTGTTTTTTCAATGCTCTCTCTACAGATCAGGAACACAAAGATAGATATGTTAGAGGAGGAACTGAGGCGTCTGAAGGACGAAATCCAGGGCCGTAATCAGAAAAATAAGTCTCTGGAGGAGGCTATGGCCCGCTTAAAGCTGGAGCTCTCTCAATCACAGGAGAGGCTAATTTCTATGGAAGAGATTAAGGTGACCCACACGATGCATGTTAATGCCACCAAGGATAGCCTAGAGAGCACACACAGCAAGCTTCAAGATCTTAATGAACAACTGATCCGAATTAAATACGAGCTGGATGAAGAAAAGAGGAAGAGAAGACTGGCAGAGGAGCGCTACACCAGCCAGCAAGAAGAGTATGAGGGGGCCGTTCGCCGCAGACAGAAAGAGCTAGAAGAACTCAACTGGAGCAAGATTGATTTAGAAAAGTCGGTGAAGGACAAAGAACGTGAAGTGGAGAGGATGAAGATACTGTTAGATGAGGAAGTGCTGCGTCGGCGAAACGCTGAATCCGATATCTCAAAGGTAAGAACAAAGTACACACAGGAGCTTAGTGAACTCAAGCAGACATACGAGACACAGATCCATGTTACCAAGACCACGATCCTGAAAACCGAGCAGCAGAAAGAAGAAGACACAGCAGATCTGAGGCTGCAAGTTGACCGACTCGCTGCTGAAAAGAGAGATCTAGAGGCGGAGCTGAGGAGGCTCAGGAACTCCATTGATCAGGTGGAAGAACAGAAGAGCAGAACAGAGCAGGAGGTCAGCCAGCAGAGGGCCTCGCTGGTACAAGAAACAAGAGTGCGCAGTGAGTTGGAGATTCAGCTGAGAACACTGATGCAACAGGGAGGGGACAATGACCTCAAACTAAAGGAGGCCACCGAAAACACTCAGGAAAAGTCCAGGCAGATCAGCCTTCTAACATTTAAGCTGGAGGAGGAGGTGAAGAAGAGGAGGAACTTGGATTTGGAAATCAATCACCTGAAACAGGCTGAGGCAGATTTGAAGGCAAAGAACGCCTCCTACCTGGAGTCCATTAACATACTTAAAGTGTCTGAGCAGGAGATCCGCATCACCCGGGTAGAGCTGGAGAAGCAGTCCAGCGAGAAAGCCAAGGTTGAGCAGAGTTCCGCCAGGCTGCAGAGCCGTATTCGGGAACTTCAGTGCTCTTTGGATGGAATGGAAGCGGAGGCGGAGAAGCAAAAGAAAGCAACCCAGGAGGAGTTCACACGTAGAAAGAGAATGGAGGCAGAGTTGGAGAGGATGACACATACTTGCAGAGAACACACTACCACGATAAGCACACTGAAATCTATCCAGATAGAGACTTCCACCAGTGGAAGAAAGTATGAGCAGGACCTCAGCGCCCTCCAGGAGGCTCTCGACAAGAGTCTGAGAGAGCATAAAGTCACCAAGCAGGAACTGACGGCTGTCACATCTGAGCTGAGGTCACTTAAACAGAAACTCCAACAGGAAATGGCTCGTATTGATGAGCTCAACCAACGTAATGAGAACCTGTATAAGACCATTGAGGAGAAGAGCCTCCAGCTTAACAACTTCACTACAGAGATTGAAAAGCTAAAGACTCTGACGCAGAGCCTGACGAAGGAAAGGCTGAGGTTGGACGAGGAGCTGAGGAAAGTGAAACAGGAGAGGGATGAGCTGAAGCTTAACAAAGACGATATTGATGGAGAAACTTCCTCTCAGATCTCAGCCTTGCATGTCCAGCTTCAGACTAGCTCCAGGAGGACCACGGAGCTCCAGGGCCTCATCAATGACCTGACCAGGGAGAGGGAAAAACTTAAAATGGAAATAGACAAAATCCAAAAGCAATCACTTGAGGTATTTTCGACAGCATTGATGGATCAACCCCTACATAATTCAACTGTTTGTGTCCTGCTTTTGCATGAATGCTTTAGGTGCTTTGAATATGAGTATTTCAAAGTGGCCCTGTTATATTAGGGGCACATGATTTTTATTTTTTATTTTAATTCACTCACTTACTAATGCTTTTTCTTAGACATGCATGTTGTTCACCCATTCTCATTGTGCATTCTGCCGTTCAACCTCAGTTGTACGAAAAATAATAATCACTACTGCATACTAATTGATGTATATATAATAATAATAATAATATATTGATGATATATTGAACACATTTATTTCGATTAGCAATTAGTTTAATCCATACTGATTTGGTTGGGATACAATTGGCCAGGTGCATCACAAATCAAATAGATAAGCACTTACAACATGCTGCCAAGGAAGAGCACATGTAATGAGTTGTGGCTCTTTACATCTGCTGCGTTTTGCCATGCATCATTTCTTGGCTTTTCTTTACAGAAATAATACCGTGTTTTCTTATCTCTTCGCAGACATCCATGATGGCGCATACTTCCCAAAGCCAATACAGTGAGCTGCTGCTGGAGAGGGACAGTTTGCTGTCTAGGCTTAAACTGCTGGACCAGGACAAGAATCGTAATCAGCGCACAGAAGAAGAGCTAACCCGCATCAAGATCACGCTAGATACTGAGATCCGCAACAAAAAGCGACTTCAGGATGAAAATAATGGTATCCTCAAGGATTTCAACCAAATGAAGAGCAAGTATGAGTTAAGAGAAAGCCACATTAGGCAGTTTGAATCAGACAGGGACAAGGCTGATCGAGACCGGATCTCCCTGAAGAATGAGATAGATAGGCTCACGAGGGAGCTGATGAGTATTGAGGAGAGGTACAAGAGCCGTCTGACGATCTCTGAAAAGGAGGCAGCAGACCTGGCTCTCAAAAGAGCGGCGCTGGAGAAAGAGATACAGAGGCTGCAGCAGAGACCCAGCACTCTGAACAGGCAGACCCAGACAAATGAAAATGTCCCAACAATCGATCCATCCAAGCTGATATTTGATGGGGTACGCCGCAAAGTCACAGCCCACCAGCTTTGTGACTGTGGTATAATCACTAAAACCACACTGGACCAGCTCCTAAAGGGAAAGAAGACAGTGGATGAGGTAGCCATGGACATCCAGCTGAGTCTTAAAGGCACTGGCATTATTGCTGGCATGAAGGCAGGTTCTCAAGGGAAAATGCCGTTCACTGAAGCGAAAAACAAGGATCTCATCACTGCAGAGAGCGCCCTCATGCTCCTTGAAGCTCAAGCTGCAACAGGCTACATAGTGGACCCAGCATTGAATGAGAAGATGCCTGTGGATACTGCCTGCTCAAGAGGGGTTGTAGACACAGAAGACAGAGACACCTTGCTGACAGCTGAAGCAGCCAGCACAGGTTTTAAAGATCCATACACTGGCAAATTGTTATCTGTGGGTCAGGCTTGCAAACAGGGCCGTGTAGACAAAGTCACAGCCATCCGTTTGCTCCAGGCTCAGGATTCTGTTGGAGGCATTCTGGACCCAGTTCTGAGTGTGTTCCTTCCCAAAGATCTGGCCTTGGATCGCAATCTTATTGATGAAGAGCTCTACAGGGCTTTGAACAAAAAACCCACCTGCTACCTGGATCCTATAACAGCAAAGAAGATCAGCTATAATGACCTTCGGAAGAAGGCCAAGGTGGAACCTGTCTCTGGCTTGCTTCTACTCAGTGGTCCAGAACAGCCCGATAAAGTCCCAGGTATCAGAGGGTATGTCACCATTTTAGAGCTCTACTCCTCTGGACTGCTGAGTGAAATTGATTGGGCTAGGTTTAAAGCGGGCGACCTCACCAGCAGTGAAATTCAAGAGAATCTAAAGTCCTATCTCTATGGCTCCTCCTGCATTGCAGGGATCTATGATGAGGCCAATGACAGAATCATGCCTTTCTATCAGGCTATGAAGGAAGGCCTGCTCATGCGAGGAACTACCCTGGAACTACTTGAGGCCCAAGCTGCTTCTGGCTTCATTGTTGATCCAGTCAACAATCTGTTCTTGACAGTAGATGAGGCCGCAAAGAGAGGCCTGATAGGAAAAGAGTTTAAGAATAAGCTGTTATCTGCAGAGAAGGCAGTAACTGGATACAAAGATCCATCCACAGGAAACAAAATCTCCCTCTTCGAGGCTATTGACAAAGATCTTATTGAGAAAGGTCATGGAATCCGTCTTCTTGAAGCCCAAATCGCCAGCGGTGGGATTATTGACCCCAAAGAAAACCACCGTATTGATATCGCTGTTGCCTATAAAAGGGGATACTTTGATAAGGAAATGAATGAGATCCTAACTTATGAAGGTGATGACACAAAAGGCTTTTTTGACCCTAATACTAAGGATAACCTGACATATCTTCAGCTGAAGGACAGGTGCATGACAGATCCCAAAACAGGCCTAACACTCCTGCCAATCGATGACAAAAAGAAGGCCAAGAAGTCACATGAGAGCCGTACCAATATCCTCCGCAAGAGGAGGGTTGTGATCGTTGACCCAGAAACTAACCTGGAGATGTCAGTGAGGGAGGCCTATCACCGAGAGCTTATTGACTATGACACTTTCCTGGACTTGTCGGAGCAGGAGTGTGAGTGGGAGGAGATAACTATCACGGCGTCTGATGGCTCTGAGCGTTTGGTGATAGTGGATAGGAAAACAGGCACCCAGTATGACATCCAGGATTGCCTGGAACGCGGTATCATTGATCAGACATATATCAATCAGTATCGTGCTGGAACGCTGACCTTGACACAGTTTGCTGACCACATCACCAGCAGAACCAGCAGTACAGGGATGCACATTTCAGCCAGCAGTGTTGATGACATATTCACCTGCAGCAGTCCCACCCAGGCCACACCATCTTCTCCCACAGTTCGTAAACGCTTCAACAGTGTTTCTATTACTGTTTCTCCCCCTGAAATGTTTGATGACCACAGCCCTGTGGGGGCTATATTCGACACAGAGACCTTGGAGAAAATAACTGTGACTGAAGGGCTCCGAAGAGGTATAGTTGACACTATTACAGCACAGAGGCTACTGGAGGCCCAGGCATGCACAGGAGGTATTATCAACCCTGCTAATGGTGATAGACTGTCGCTGCAGGATGCTGTCCATCAGAGTGTCATCGACGAAAGCATGAGTGTTAAGCTGAAAGCTGCCCAGAAAGCCTACGTTGGTTTTGAGGATGTGAAGACTAAAAGAAAGATGTCCGCAGCAGAGGCAGTGAAGGAGACATGGTTGCCCTATGAAGCTGGCCAGAGATTTTTAGAATTTCAGTACCTGACAGGAGGCCTGATCGAGCCTGGCTCTGGACGTCGCATCACCATTGAAGAGGCTATTCGTAGAGGTTGGCTGGATGGTCAAGGGGCCCAGAAGCTTCAGGATACAAGGAACCACCAGAAGAACCTGACATGCCCGAAGACAAAACTAAAGATCGCCTACAAGCAAGCCATGGACAACTGCATGGTGGAAGAAAGCAATGGTATGAAGATGCTGCAGGCCTCCTCAATATCCTCCAAGGGAATCAGCAGCCCTTACAATGTCTCCAACCCAGGATCTCGCTCCGGGTCCAGGGCTGGTTCCCTTGCCGGCTCCAGGAGTGGATCTCGTAGAGGAAGTGTGGATTACTCCTCTAGCAGCTTCACATTCAGCTCCAGCAGTACCACCTTGAGCAATTCTAAATCTTAATACACAGCATAGAAAAATTTATCTAGACCTGTTTTTAACAACAGTCCATATGCAGTTTGAGTACTCTTTTAACAGTTTGCTTTTCTAAATGCTTTTCTGCTACTTGATGATGATATTTTGGGAAATTAGTTATTTTAAATGCATTTAAATGTTTTGATAGTTTGCAGATTTTGGTGATTTGGTTTTCCAATATTTACATGTATGCAGAGTATATAATTAATATTCTTATTCTAAACCACACAAGTTAAATGAACATATTTGTCATAGCTCATTTTAATACATGGCTTATCTTCAGAAATGAACAATGTGTTATTTGAAAGTATGCTTCAAAATTAAGTTGGCTATTTTATATTCTTATTTTTTTTGCAGCTAGACTTGTGTATGATTTCATTTTTTTGTTGAAAAACAAACCAATGCATTTTGTTGATTGCGAATGCTGGTTAAGCTTAAAATACTGACTTGTATGATTAATGATCAACTGCAAAAATCACTTGCCACTAACATGTTATTCTCACACAATTGAAAATAAAATGTTCATAACAATGTTGATTCATTCCATTACTCATTAATTCTTTTATTAGCTTAATATGTCTTTGTTGTGCATTAATAGACAGTTTTATAACCGTTCACTGTTTAAGGAGAGGCTCAGCAGTATCAATTTTAACCAATGAGTGGCGCTAATTGTCATACTAAAATAGCTCAGATGCGAGTCTGATTAAACCTAAATGCCAGTCGGTTTGCCACTTTGGTTATATATTATAATATAGCAACACTGTAATGTTGGATTGACGAAACAACTGCATAACCTGATATTTAAAACATGCTAATCATGCTCAATATAAAACTATATACATGAACAAACATGGTTTCTATGGTTCAAGGCTTTTATTAGTCATACGTACATAGCTACAGTGTAGTTATGACGATGAAAATCTTAGGTCACAGGCCTTGTTGGGTTATAAACAATGAGTATAAATGATCAAGCTCTACTTTGGCCTTAAGATAATTTAACTGCGTCAGAAAACCCCACTGGAGATTGGGATATTTTTAACATACTGTAGTAGATAGCTCTCATCATTTAGACAAAAATAATACCTTATTTACTACCGTAATTCATTTTACTTTGAAAGTGCATTAGAGCAAAAACTATTGTTGCCAATAAATATACGGAATGAACCCCCCTAAAATTGTCATTAAGCCTACCACTGAACCACGATAATTATATTGACTGAGTTTTTAACATTAAAGATATTTTAGGGAAATTGTGATTTTGAAAACTGAATTGACATGTTTGTTTCGCGGTAATAGACACTGTAGTAGGAAATAGGAGGGAAAGGCACTTATTCAAATATAGTAGCCTACATATTTCCATACCAATCAGAATCAGAATACTTTAATTATCCAGAGATTGGATTTTGTGACAGTTGCTTCATTTTAGAATACAATTAAATAAAAATATAATACAAATATTCACATTAACACAACAAATTAAAGTTAAAATGCACACATTCCTACTTCAACAACATTACATTATGTGAACATTTCTCTATATGACCAAGTGTCTTTTATTTACATTGTGTTAAAATAAGATACAATAAAATAACATGTACTTTATTAATCCCAATTTGGGAAACATTTTTGTTACAGGAGCATAAAACAAAACAAGGCATTGCACATAATAACAAATTAAAAGAGTAGAAATAAACAATTCTAAAATATAAACATCTCAAAATAGAGATAATAATAGACCAGCATTAGAGAGTAAGACAAATATACAGAAGACCTTGAAGATAAAAATGTTTAATGATGTAATGGACTGTACACATATGAAGGGTTTTTTGGGGGTCCGGCTGGACGAAGTATCCGTCTGCGTGTGAGGGGTGAGGGTGAGAACAAATGGAGACAGGCATCGGTAGGAGGCCGTAGAGAGGGGAGGAAGTGTGGAAGGGGGAGGGAACAAGGGAGACAGCCCTAGCGGCACAGTGGGAGGACTATCCCATGCCAGGACTTGTGGCGGCTGCAGCGGCCCGGACTGAAGGAAGTGTGCAGCAGGGGGGCTGAGCAGCAGAACAGCAGCAGACCAGGAACCGAACTCAGGCTACCATTTTATCACCGACAGCCTCTGAAAGGGAGAGGACCGGGTCCAGCTGAGCACATTCCAGCAGAGGAAAATGAGCCTTTCAGCCTGCATTAAGCCTGTATGACGGGCTGAGGGCTCTCTGATCAGGACTTTACCCACTACTTCTGCAGCCTCAACTGACAAAGGGACACAGAGGAGAAAAAACCCAGAATCAAAGTGCTCGCTTTCCGTTTGAAAAGGTAAGGGCACTTTGTGTGAACTTTTACACGGTCAATCCTTAGCAGGGAGGCATTTTAAAGCCAGGCTGGTCAGTATTTAAGTGCACTTTCAGACACTGTGGATTTAGTTTTCTGTTCTCTTCAGCTCTTTGCTCAGTCACATTTCATTGAGTTTGCTCAATTATTCAAAGTGCAAAACAGGCCACTGCCCTCTTTATTTATTTTGGCTCCGACGAAAACCAGAGATGTGTGTTTGTGTTTTGCTCCAGCTCCTCCAGCAGCACAGAGAAGGGACTCATTCAAACTGACCCAGCACGGATTCCCTGTTCAATGTGAACTAGTATTATTTATGTCTTTGAATTGAACTTCCTGAATCTCGGATTTAAATATTTGGGTCTTTTTTATCTTTAAAATGTCTTCCTCAATGAACTGTTTTGCAATGGCTATAATTTGGGGTTCCTTTCTATTGTGGGCTCTGGAGACCTTTTATAATGTGAAACACATGGGGCCATTCTTGTGGAAGACTTGTATCCAGTAGTCTGAAATTTCCAAAAGAAACCATGTGTGGCCGGTTTGAATTTCTCAGTCGGTAGATAAATGATGTAGACAATCAGAACAAGAGTATGGCTTTTTTCTCTTTGAGCTACAGCTGCTGCGTGGTATTTGTGGCCCTAGGGCTGTGTTTCTCAGGCAGCCATTGTTGATGACATGTACAAGCGCCCTTACATCACAACAGCTTCAACCCTCTTCACCTGAATATCAGTCACTCCTTTGGAAATCAGACACACACCTGCATTAACACCCTCTTTCTGTCAGGCAACATAAACCATGCAGGTTGTTCAGAACATTTTAAAGGCTAAACTCTTTCAAGATTAGCTTTAATTACAGACCCAGTAAGACAGGAGAAACATTTTTGAACTGGCAATTATAGCTTTTTTCCGTGGTTCAATTTGAAGTCAGTCGTATGAACAATATCTTGCCCCTCAAGGCGAAAAAAAAGGTGCATCAGAAAACCCAAAGTGTTAGGTGGTAATTACAAAGGGCTGGCAGGACGACAGATGAATGGGGATCCTGATGGTGTGGTTTGGACAGGTGGGTTGGCAGAAGGTTGGGGTTGTGTACTGTAAACAGAACACTGTGATCTAACCCTGGGAGGAACAGCATGGGACAGAGCGCTGGGGCATTTCACTTTGTCACGGCTGTGCCATGGCCACTTGGCTGACATGTGTAAGTCATTAAACAGAGAGAAGGAGACCAGAAGAAGGAAGGCTGTAACAGCTATAAAGAGAGTTGAGAAAAAGAGAGATGGAGGGAATGAGAGAGCGAGAGTTGGAACGTAATCCATTTTGGAATGCATTCCACATTGACCTTGGGATAGAAAACGGTAATTAGGGAGCACTTTAGGAGCCTTAAGGGTGCACAGATTTGCTCAGGGCTGTCATTTTTATTCCCTTCAACATATCTCACGAAAATGTGGGACAAATACATGTTAGAGTTCCAGGGTTACTAAATAAACTTACTAAAAATACTCATCTCCTGCCTCATGGTTTTGTTTATTTCAGTTCTTTAGCAGTAAATGGGTGTCAAAGTCATTTCGTAAACATATAAAGCCCCTGACAGGAAAAGGCCAGAACAAACTGTGGGCGGCCTTGTCCCTCTCGGGGGCTTTCAACCAGCCTGTTATGTCACTGTGGACATGTTATCCTGCAGAATTGGCTCGTGCCAAGTATGAATACAAGGCAGTTTGGAACAGTTAAGCTGAGGGTATTAAGGTGTTTTAGGTGGCTATTAGCTGTGAATGCTAAATTCCAAGTGGGGGCTACAGACAGATGACAATAGCAAGAAACAAATCTGTTCTGGTTGTGAAACTCCTGTCATCTGATTGAGTTGTAAACAGGCAGATAATGATATGTTCATGTGCTGGGAAACAAATAAAGAGTAGGAAATAAAAAGCTACCTTTAGTTAAAAAAGGTTAAAACATTTTACCATCCAGCCCTGCCGGCAGCTAGAATTCCTGAAGCATTTATGGCACTTAAGCTGTTACTAAGGTTTGCAGACAAGCAGTTTAGGAGATCATTAATCTGTCCGGAGTCTCCCAAGAGGCAGAGGTGTGTAGCAGCTTTTTCCATATGTGCATAACAGAGCCAGGGCCTACATGCTGGGTTGGATGAGCTTTATCACCCCTCTTTGAATTCAACCTCTCAAAAGCTGCAGCTCTGTTCCTGTGAAAGTTTGTGTTGAGTTGGGGTTTTGTGCTCCAAGGAATATCAGTGCATTCATTTTTGGTTTCAGACACATATTTTCGGTTTAATGGACCTATAAAAATATAAGTTGTCACATAATTGAGGCCTTTACCTCAACATGTCAATCATCAACTAGAAGCCGGAGCCAACAGAAGCATTTCAATTTATCATTGAAGTGTGATGGGGAGAGGGGGTTGCCTTAATTGCTTTCATATGTTTGCAGGCATAATGTTGAGGACGTTTGAGTTTTTAAAATTGATTTAAAACACCTTTTACTAATTGGCAACCTATCTATTGAAATGTTGATTGAGTTAAGTAGATTTATATATATATATTTTCAGTAAAAAATAGATTAAAGTTTCTCCGTCGCAGCATTTTTTCAAGGAATTATTCAACACATTTTGGCTTTAAGTCATTTGGCTGGCTTTGATAGTGAATTGCAATTAGAATTTGTCATTGTTTATACATTTTACAAACTTAATACTGAACCACAGAGGAATTGATGCCTTCATTGATAACAACAATACAAGTCTCCCACTATTAATTACATCTTAACCTTTCTGTTTCACTGATCTTTTATCAGGTTTGATAACTTTATCTCATGACTCATGCCTATAAGAATATGCACTTCCTTTGTGTTCCTTCCCTTATGTACCCAAGACACTCTACACTGTATTTTCTCTTCCAGTGGTTTGCACAAATATGTAAAAGCAATCTGCACTGTGATGGCCACACTGAGATCGCTAATGGAAAATACAGTCGATGGAGCCTAGACATGTAGCAACCGGCCTGATCACATACAAACAAACTTTTGCGTAAATGGATTCGGTTACTGTGGCTCAACCCCAGGCTCGGGAGACTCTTTATTATTTGTGACAGACAAGCATGCAAAGTCTTTGCCAACTGTTGTTACCACAGTGTACTCACTAAGTAAAAACAGCTATGAGGTCACTGTTGGGCATGATTTAACCCTTTTGGGTCTGACGAACTGATGTCTGGATTCTGAGACGGTTCTCTCTGCTGTTTATGTCGCATTACATGATGCCGCCTCCTTCATCTCATGGTTCACCTGCTCATACAAAATGGAAGATTCCATATAGAGGTAGGCCTAAAGGCAGGTGACGGGTGTGGCTCTTGAAATAGATTCATCCCAGCTCTTTAATGTGCCTTCCCGCTTGGCCTTCCCTGCATTTTATTCAACACATAAATGGAATGTTTGATTAACTTATTCTTAGCGTTCTTCTGGGTACTTGAAAGAAAGGCATTTGGAGCTGGTCCCAAGTGATGGTCATGCATGTGTGAACGTGGCTGACAGCACCCACGCAGCCTAGTCAAGCTTTTACCTGCAGGGTTGGAGCTGGGGGAGCCAGACACACCCTAATCCCCCAACATCCTGACCTCGGTAAACCTGTCGCAGCTTGTTCACCGAAAAACCTGGCAACCCGTTTTTTTCTCCAATCTCTCTGCCTACCCCGCTACTCTACCAGCCTGACTCTCCCAGTGCCATGGGTGGGCTCAGGATTTGAGTTCCTTGGCACTGCTTATTCTGCCTTTGTGAGCTAATGCTGCGCCTCAAACCAGGAACAAAAGCAGTCAGTGCAAATTAAAGACCAATTATCTTTAGTGCGTGCTGGGGCATGTCGCTCATGTTAGCTTGAATGATGAGTGGGAGAAATGAGAGGTCTAGTAGGAAAAGGATGTTGTTCTGCAGTGTGAATGCTGCAGGAGAAATTATCAAGCCACAAATTGATATTTTAAAAGTTTTATGTGTTTTCGTTTTTAAATAATGTGATGTTAACTACTTGTGTGCATCTTTATGGGTTTTATCTGAGTTGGATGAAACCTTTATTTACCTTTTTGTTTAGTAACCTTGAAATTATTATGTAATTGGTTATTTAATAGTTTGACTTTTGAAGCGTCTTTCAGTTTTTAGAAAAGCGCTATATAAGTGTCTTGCATTATTATTATTATTATTATTATTATTATTATTATTATTATTATTAAGCTTATTTGCATTTTCGGCAAGAATGCGAATATGCCTATTTTCCAGAATGTCAAACTTAATACAAAAATATTTTTAAACAGATTTGTATACACCAAATGAATTAATGTGTTTTTCCCACTCTTGGATCACATTGAGGTGAAGTGTAGGTTAGATGTCTTTCCCATCTCTAGTTAGCAGAGTACTCTGACACTTCCAAAACATTACTAAGCCTCCTTCCCATGCCCCTGCCCTGGAGAGACACAAAGCCGACCTGTTCATTAATTTCCCATTAGTCAACAGTTTTTCCTTTAGAGTCTCACGGGAAATAGACTAACCCCACCATTAATTCCAACAATCCCCGAGGACCTCTTTGCCCCGCTCCCACCACCTCCACCAACACACACACGCACAAAACACCCAGCCCTGTTTCCCCAAGTGATGACCTCTTCGTACACATGGCCTCTTTCATTCCGCTCTGAGGGTTGGTTTAAGCCGTGGCCACACTGTCCCTGGTTTATGGCTCCCTCTCTGGCCCCCTTCAAAGTGTCGGGCTGTAGCCTGCAGTCGTTGCAGTCTTAATTGACGGACACATTCTTGAGAGTGGATCATTTAATCACAACAAACAATTCGAGTCATTCAAGAAGGATGATGATATCTCTGGCAGTGTTAGGAATGTGTTTTGGAGAGTGTGTGTGTGTGAGAAACATTTATCAAGCTCTGTTGATCAGTTGTTGTTTTTTTAATGCTGGTTTTCTAAGTCATGGGCACACAGCTAATTCTTGCATACTCAAAAGGTAGGTAGGTTGGGTTTGCTGTATGACAATAATCTAATATATAGAAATAGGAACTATACAAGATGCATTCAGCTAAACATTACAAGTTGAGCAGTGCACATAAAGTACATTGTTTTACTTCAACTAATACCACAATACTGTTGCAAGTGAAGTGATAAAGTTGTGTGATTATTAGCCAAAATATAGTATATGTAATATTATATAATCCACTATAACTGCATACATCAGAATTAAATAAATTAAATTAATGATAGCAAGTGTTGGTCTGTATTTATATATAAATGTGATACAATAATGTAATAAAATTGGCCAACATATAACATAATAGACATTATAGTACAGCAATAGAACATATACAGTGTGATATAATTAGAGGTTATTATAACAATTTCTAAATAATTCAAATAATAATATATAATACAATATAGTCATTTCATTGTATTTGGTGTCTCATATTTCCAAATCAGTCCAAAAATAAACAAGATTTTGTCATCGTACTTTTTGGCAGAGTATATTTAGTTATTTTATGAAATGTCAAAAAGGGTCAGTTGTCATTTCCTATATGATAAAATTAACATTATAAAGGAAATGCATGTAAAATAAATCCACATTTCTTAATTTCACAATCATAATAATAAATACACAGGGAAGCAGCCAATCCTCATAATAAACTGGAAAAGCAACAAACATATTCAGCGTTTAAACTCCATATAAAAGCGGTTTGTTTGATTTATTGATGGATTGGCTAATAGCATCAGCACAAGTGATGGCCGCAGGCAACACTTTTCTATTACACGGCTGACAACCCGCACAGAGCATACAGAGATGACTAGATAAGAGAATAAGGGATGTGTTTGTGGATGTGGGGGGTGAGACAGGCTCTCTCCAGACTACCACCGCAGGAAGTGCATGGCCATGAGGTCACAGGGACACGGCATCACTCAGGGATTTACAGCAACTGGTTCTAACCGGTGTTGTTTGAAAGTTATTTTTGGTCTTTGTCACTGTTTTTCCGACTGACATTGGGTGTTAGATTGCTGGTGTTCAACCTTTTGATAACACTGATCTGTATTTATTATTTGCAATGGTGATAAGAGGCACTCATCTCTCACATGTTCAAAAGCCCTTGATATATTGTTCCGTTACAAAAAGTACTGTGTGTATGACTCACAATGTTAACCGTTTTTTATGCAAACAAGACACCCTCTGTTGTACAATCTGGAATTGAGGTTGATCTCTAAAGATTTACCGCGGCAGACTTGGACACAACAATGACTAAAGCTGTGGACTTTGACCACCAAATATTGACTTGAGCAAAGTCACTTGCTTTAAGCGGGAACGGTTTGAGGTTATTAAAGTGCCTGACCCACCTGCGTCTCTTATTCATTTTGTTTTCAACAGGAAGATCCAAGATTCATGATGGAGGAGGGATATGAACTCGACCTGACGTACATCACAGAGCGCATCATTGCCGTGTCCTTCCCCCGGGGCTGCACAGAGGAGATCTACTCTCACAATCTGAAGGATGTCACACGAATGCTCAAGTGCAAGCATGCCGATAATTACCTGGTCAGTTCTCCTCCATGTGCTGCTCACCTAGAAATAAGCTCAAGTATCAAAGTGCAAACCGTATTGATGTCAGGGCTGATGGGCCTACATAGGATATTGACATGAGAGTATTGATCTCAAAGTGCATAGTGCATCTTCACTCGTATAAATGTAGGAACCAGTGTTAAAGCAGAATGCAATAATCTTAAAGACAACATTTCAAGTCATTGACTTTGTCATGTGTTCTCTTTAGATTATCAACCTGTCAGAGAAAAGACATGATCTCACTAAAATGAACCCAAAGGTAAGTTTACTGTGTCCTCTAAAGTAAAATAAAATAAGAAATTACATCAATACCCTAAAGAACAAATACAATTAATTGTAATGGCAAAATAGAGTTAGGTTCAAACTCTTTGTCAGCTCTGTGCAACCAGCTACAGTAAACAGTCTAATCTAGATTGTTAATGCACTACTGTATGTGTTAAGAGTGTGTGATGTGTTTTCAGACTCTGGACACAGGCTGGCCTGACATGCACGCTCCACCCCTGGATAAAATCTGCACCATCTGTAAGGCCATGGAGAGCTGGCTCAATGCTGACCCCCTTCATGTGGTGGTGATACACTGCAGGGTGAGCATCAAGCGTTTGTTTTGTATCAGCTTTAGTTTTAGTTCTGCTTTATTTAGTTACTATCTGTTATGCTACGCACAAAATTCTTTATTATTCCGCCGGGTTATTTTGCACCTCTTCTTCTCCCACATTCCACATCGCAGAAACTCCGTTCAAACATCAAAACGTTCAGCTCGGTCGGGAATCGATGGCTCTTACTTTTCTCATTCATAACTTTCCCGAGATACATCCCATAATTCCTCACATTTTTAACATGGAAGTCAATGGAGAAACTCTTCAGACTTGAACAATCTTCATGCAACTTCAACTGCTAACTGCTGCTTCATACTTTCACTCAGAAACCTCATTCCAACTTTAAAATGCTACACATCTTTCTGACATTATTCGTGTAACACAACTTTTAAATCTGATTCGTACCTTGGTAAAGAGGCCTTCTTCAGACTTTAGAGTGCGTGATGTCACAGCTAGAGTGGAGGACAGATTTAATTTTGCCTTCATATTTTCTTTTAAACCTGCCATAATTCCCAAACCCTAGAATTCCTGAGACATCATTTTTCATGAGAAACGTAGGAAAACATCTCGTAGCTTGAAAAGTAAAAAAAAAATTAAGCAAAATAATTAAACAAAATGCCTCTTGAGGGCATGAAGTGACAAAAACGTTCAACATGTCTCCATTAAACCCCATTGTAACTTCAGCCTCATCTTTCCCCACCACAGCAGCCGCACACCTTTAGTTAATCTGCCAAAAAGGCCACATTATTAACCCAAAAGTACACTTCAGATGCTCAAGTTCCTTGACATGTTTCACGCTTTGAAATGTCTGTTTTTATTTTCTGTTACGGTTCTTCAACAAAACGTTCACATGTAAGAGGTTTATCTCTCATTCAGAACAATGAAAATGCTCTCCTCTCACTGATTACTGCACCATGGAAACCTTTGATCTCTGGACACCTCGTTAGCTCAAATATAAACACCTGTGTCATGGAACACGATGATGTCATAACTCCAACTGACATGCTCAGAGCAGCAGACTTCAGATAATGGTTAATGGTCCTGCCCTCAACAGCTCTACGTCAATTATGGGGTGTCATCATATGCCGTTTCCATGGAAACGCATCCCTCGCCATAAAACACGATGTCGCTGTAACTCCAATGGACACGATCCGATCGTCCCCCAAACTTCACTTGTATATCACCGGTCCATGCCACAACAGTTTTACGCCAAATCTGAGATCTCACCATAGACTGTTGCCATGGAAACGCATCCCTCGCCATAATAGACGAAGTCGCTATAACTCCTATGAAAATGTTCAAAAAGTGCTCAAACTTCAATGGTGTCTAACAGTCCAGCCGTGAAGACATCTACGGGACAGTTTTGAGATTTCTTCAAATGCCGTTGCCATGGCAACACAATGCTCGCCATGAAACACGGTTTTCTCATAACTTCAGTGAAAATGCTCCAAACAGCCCAAAACTTCGCAGGTCTGGTAACGATGCAGCCATCAACGCATCTAAGCGTATTATGGGATGTCATAAAATGCCGTTGGCAGATCATTCGCCATCAAGTTAGTTCAAATGTTTGCAGTTCAAATATTCTGCTGCTTTT